ATCAGCGCAATGCCTTCAATATTCCGACTCTCTCATCGGATGTCTGGGTTAACTTTGGGATAAAAATTTTGGTAACAGAAAAAAGATTTTAAAAAAACGATTCTTTAAAAATCATATCTCACATTTGATTTAAATTTTAAAGTGATTAATTTTATATCTACAGGGTCTTTCAGTTAGAATGGTTTTTTTGAAACGTCTACAACTTTTAAATGGAACATTGGATTTAACTGATTATTTTTACATTTATTATATAACAGATTAGGATTCTTGAAAACGTACATAAGAGTTATAATAACTGCTGGAAATGTCCGCCATTTTCTTGAATACAAAGATGTGACCGCTTCTCAAAATTTATTGCTGCTTTCACTCACTGCGCCGGAGTTATTGTTCCACAAGCGTTTTCCACAGTTTCCATAAGATTTGGAACTGTCTGGGGGTTGGCATCAAATATCATTTTACCCAAATAAACCCATAGCCAAAAATCCGAAGGATTCAAGTCCGGGCTTTGGGGTGGCCAAGGAATCGCACTCCTCCTGCTTATAATCCTCGCGCTAAATTGTGAGTGGAGCCATGTGAGGACTCTCTCTGTGCAGTGGCACGTTGCACCATCCTGCATAAACCACAGGCGCCGAAGATCGCGGCGTGTCAGAAGAATTGGCCAGAGTTTAGACTGCAACATGTCAAGATACGTCTGGTTCAAAGTGACGTATCTTGACATGTTGCAGTCTAAACTCTGGCCAATTCTTCTGACACGCCGCGATCTTTGGCGCCTGTGGTTTATGCAGGATGGTGCAACGTGCCACTGCACAGAGAGAGTCCTCACATGGCTCCACTCAATATTTGGTGCGAGGATTATAAGCAGGAGGAGTGCGATTCCTTGGCCAACCCAAAGCCCGGACTTGAATCCATTGAATTTTTGGCTATGGGGTCATTTGGGTAAAATGATATTTGATGCCAACCCCCAGACAGTCGCAAATCTTATGCAAACTGTGGAGAACGCTTGTGGAACAATAACTCCGGCGCAGGGAGTGAAAGCAGCAACAAATTTTGAGAAGCGGTTACATTTTTGTATTCAAGAAAATGGCGGACATTTCCAGCAGTTATTATAACTCTTATGTACGTGTTCAAAAATCTTAATCTATTATATAATAAATGTAAAAAGAATCAGTTAAATCCAATGTTCCATTTTAAAGTTATAGACGTTTCAAAAAAACCGTTCTAACTGAAAGACCCTGTACTAGCATCGTATTTGGATATGTCAGCGGGCCACGATTCTATTTAAATTGGTTTCTGAGCCGGATTTATTCAACTTTTACTTCTCAGTGCATTTTTATTTAAAAAACTCTACAAAAATTGCTATTTGAAAAAAAAAGTTCGCCTGGAGAGAAAGGCCGCCCGAGCTCAAATTTTTCTTCATTTTCTTTGGAAATTGGAACAATAATGGTTGTGGATTTTTCAAGCTTCTTTCCGAGCTGTTTTCCTGAAAATTATGCTTTAAGTGATAATAAAAATTGTAATATTGAAGTAACGATTAGTTTACACGTTTTCTCGGTCAAAATAGGGTCTTTACAGTCATATGAGAGGAGTCAGAAAGTAAATTTGATCGGTATCAACAAATCAGCATTTTTTTTTGAAAATATGCCTCCCTCGAGAGAATCCTAGATTTAACCTTGTCTCTTCATACACATACCTAGTAAGAAAATATATTCGTAATGTTGTTGTTTGCTTACTAAAGAGTTTAGTGCTGATTGCGTCTGTAGCTTTCTTGATCAAGGCTTTTCTTTGCCTTGGCACGCCATGGTGTTATCTGTTCAAAATTTTTTGCTCAAACGGCAAGTGAAGTGAAGGAACTATGGCTGGGGTTTGGTTTTTCTTCCTGATTTTTACCTCGGAGAAAAGAGCGATGGAATCAAAAGTTATATCAAATTATAATCCTTCAGTTTTTTTTGGTTTCTAGACTTTTTAAATGAAAATTGATACGCTGACCTCTACTACATTTCTAACGTTTTTTTTATTTCGACAATTTTAACATTGTTATAGGAAAGATTATCTCTAATTCTTGCTGTTTTTTATTTAGTTTTATTGCCCTTCACTAAAAAAAATAACCAAACGTTTAGAGAAGTTTAATGCAAAAAAAATGAAATTGAAGTTTTCATATATATCCAATTTTTGTCAATTTTTTGTAAAATTTAAATCAGTGTGGTCGGAACAGTAACCAGTTATTAGTGACTTTTTAAGGGTTTGTGAATTTTTCTAGATCTCTTTTATACGGTTTTAGTTGTTTGAGTTTGTAAAGTTCTGCTTTGCCAGTGTGTTTTTTTTTCAAAATTGGACAGTGAACTTTTTCAGTTGTTAAGTGCCCATTCGCTGATAGTTTCAGTTGAAAATCAATTAGTTTCTGAAGGTTTATGCGGCTGTTCAAGACCTTGCGGAGCTTCCAGTGGTTTTCGGATGCTTTCAGCGTAACTATACTTCTGTTGAGATCGAATTTCAAATAACAGTAGAAAACAAATTCATCGAAGAGATAAGAATATACTAAACCATAAAGTGAAGTAGAAGCAGTGGTTTTGGAGAAATTTAATTGGCCATTTAACTGCTTGTTCCTTTCACAGTGTTCATTTCGCAAGCCGAGCGTAGTGTTATACTGCGAACCCAACTCCAAAATAGTACTCGAGAATATTAGAGAATGTTAGTTTTACTGTTAGTGGCCCTTTCGCAGCAGGCAGCAAAGGCATTTTTATATCATGTGCTTTTAAGTTTGATTACTAGTAAATTAACAAATTTGATGATTTTTTAAATGTCTCGCTTGAGCTGAAAAAGCCATCAGCTTCGTGGAGCAGTATTTTATTACTGTAATTGGAAGCCATGATTCTTATTCCAAAAATAAAGTTCAAAAAAATTGTCTCAGCTTAAAGAAAAATTTTCTGATTTTTTTTGGCTTTCAGACTAAATTAGACAAAATTTGAGAGGCTGACTTCCATACTACAATTAAAACGTTATTTACGCTTTTATTACTTCTTTCTTGCATAGTTTGATCTAATAAGGTTGCGTCGCTTTAAAAATAACCCAGACATGCGAAAAATATTTGAAAAAAATGGAATTGATTTTTTTTCGATAAATAAAAAAGTTCTGATTTTTCCCAAATCAATATGGTCTAAATAATCTGTGCGGTTTGCAAAAGAACCGGTTATCTATGATTTTTTACCTCTTTAAAAGTTTGCAAAATTTTGTGCAGTGTTTCAAAAACTGGTCGAGTTTCAAGCGTCCTTCGCATACTTACAGCTAACATATTAATCTGTAGATGTTGAATATCTAATATCGGGGCCTACGAAATTAGGCGACAGTCAAACTTGGCGACCGTAAAATATCTCAATTTGAACGATAACTATTTGTGAATTTGGTCGTTCAGAACTGGTCCATCAAAAAAATTTTGTTAAGAAAGAGGTTACTGAAAAACAAAGTGTTTTTATCACAACTGATCAAAACTATTATTGTAAATTAATTATAAAACATTTCATCGAAAAAGTATAGTATATTTTGAAATTTATAAAGTGTACAAATGTGAATAGCTTCAAGGTATCATGGATCTGTAGCGTAGAAGTAGGGAAGGAGACCCGTAACAAAAAAAGGGTTCGAACCTGGGCAGGGTCGGATGTTTTAGATGAAATTTTTCGTATACTAGTTAAAATGCGTCCGCTCTACAAATTGAGGCCTGTTAGTCGGTATTTTTTTTCATATTGATTGGTGCTGCTAATGCGTCATAATTCGCTTGCATCATTTAGCAATTATGTAGACTCATTATTGGCGTGGGTCACGTAAGAAATTTTGTAGACTCAACGTTTTACTCATTCAGTTTTTCCCAGTAGCGTTATCGGTCATTTTTTGCTTGTGTATGCCTCTGTGTAAAACTCCCTTTGCCGCTTTCTCGTTTTTGTTTGCGAAATTGCAGCTTCGCCTTTGCGTTAAAGTGTAAGTCATTGGACCAGAGTAGAGTAGTCGCATTCCAAAAACTCAGGGTTGCTGCTTGATACGTGATTGGGTACCAGTACGGTAGTTAAATAAAATACGATTGGTTCCTAGTTGCAACGAAAGTTTTCAGGCGTTGCAATATTCTAAAGCATGCTTTGCATTTGTTTATTTGTGTTTTTAGGGTCCATATCCGAATAGGGGAATCCATTTTTCATACTTATTTTTTCTTGGAACCCAAAAATCTTTTTGTACCCCTGATTAAAGGATGTAGACATGAATCATCCAGCATACCCTCCTTTCTGCATCGAAAATGAGAAGGTATTGTCTTGGTTTTAGAGAAGGTATTGTCTTTGATTTTTGTCTTAAAACGGCAGACAACATTTCTTATTGCAACCGACTTCGTGGCCGTATGTGAACCGATGTAGATCAAGGACACTTCTTATTCAGGCATTTAACGCTCTTTGCTCAATCCGTTATAAGTTTTCAATGAAATGTTCGAAATCGGAGTTTAGGCCATCAATTGTAGATTCTTCGATCGAAACCAAACAAGCCACGTAATAACTTGAACCCTGTTAATTTGAGCATAATTTTGAACATGCCATATCTCGAGCAATTGCAAAATAGCAGAAAAATCTGCAAGGAAATTTTCCCACCGATTTTTGGGTTGGCTTGATAATACGGCAATTAAGCTGAAATTTGAACAAATGCATCTTATTTTGATCCAAAATTTGAAATTCAATTTCACGTTTTATATCGTGCAAAAAAGTTGTCGGTTTATTATTCTTTCGGTTTTCCAAGTTGTCGATGATTTGTAGGTATGTTTTATCTTCATGTTAGCCAAGCTAGTGAAAATGTACAAAAGAGGCAGGCGGGTTTTATCGAAGCAATGGTCTCGACCTATGAGATTGGATTCGGGCTCAAACATCCGAGTTTGTTGAGCAAACAGTTCAAAATCCTGTCATAGAGTTTCAGCCACGGCTATCTTTATAAACTCAAACATAGATTAAACGACTTAGGTAAAGACACTGTTTATTAATGCGAAATAGTCTAAGCTATTTGAAACATTCAGGCGTCACTTATCACTCCATGCAAAGATTATTAATCAGGGACTAGTTTGGGTCTCAGTGAAAGTTCATCTGAACAGAAACGAGTTCGGTTGATAAGACAATATACATGGCCCAATATTACCCAAATTTGTTTCTTATTAGCGCAACAAATCCGATTAATCAACTATTCTAATTTTCGCTAACATTAGTGTTACTTTTGTGATGTTGTATCATTCTTTTAATCTTTAAATCTTCTTCACATTTTGTCTTTTGTTTCAATCCTAAAGTAGTTATTTTTTTATGAAAACAAATGAAGTTTTGTCGCCTAAACCACGTTATTATTCCGCGGGCGAAAGTTAGACCGCCAAATTGTAAATCAAATCGACATTGAAATACATTTTGAAGATATTTGACTACCTCAAACGTTAAAAAATGCATCAAAGAGAAATTATTAACAAAAGTCAATATTTTTCTAAGGCGGTTTATTTCGAATTCATTTAGTATTTTTCTTCTGTTTTTGTTATTTGTCGCTCTGAATACTTGAATTGTTTGCCTGTTTTATACAAGGTTCAATCGTTAAGTTTGAACTGTTGTTTTGTCGTGAAATACCTGTATGCGAGTTCGACTGTTTCTAAACATCGTGCCGAGTAGACAAAACATCGTGCGGAATGGAATTATTTACTGGGGAGGCAAAGTTTGTCTGAGTTAGTTTTGGGCGGTGTTTACTGAGGCAATCAACCATTTACTTTAGCAGTTGGTTACAACTTAATTGCAAATACAAATCGAAAAAGTTGGATTCATGGCGTTTTTGATAAACAATATTTAACGAGAGTATTCTTCAATCATTTCGAAACTATTTAAATGATTTTTTTGAACTGTTACTGTTTCTTTGAGAAAATGTTTATTTATGTTCTTGTTAAAATCTTCAGTTAACCAGAGAACTGAATTGTCTAGACGCAGATGTTGAAATAACGCTTCAATAAACTAACCTTTATTTTTTGTTACTAGCCGCCCTTATCGTTCAATTTATTATAGCCACCGCCTGAAAACTGTCGTTTTACTGTAACGCATCGTTAAAAACCAAAGTATCTAAAAAGACACTTTAAAGTTAAAGTTCAATTTTATTCACTCAAGATACTTATTCTGAGCCAGCATAAGTTAACACTTGTTTTCAGGCGACATAAACTAAGATTCCGCGTAATTTCCCAGCAAATGAAAGCGTTTAGTTTTATTCAATCTTTTATTTTTATCCCAGATTTTTTATATATTTTCCTTATCGAATAATCGCAATTGTCGCTTTATCTACACAGCACAGATTTGTTGAAACAATATTTCTGACTCTGTTGTTTGTTAATAGGTCGTTTTTACGCTAATTTATTTCCTCTTTTATTGAATCGTCGCATCTTTTGCTTAAAGTTCACCTCTCTTTCTTGCTTAGTTTTTTTCAATCAGTTGGAACTTATTGTGAGTAATAATATTGGTCCATTTGACATGGCATTCAACATGCCGTATATGCCATTTTGCCCACCTAGGTTCCCTAGAGCGCCTCCTTGGGGTTCGAACTTCAGCCAACAACAGCCCTCTCCATTCGCACTCCCCTCACTGTCACCGCCCGATATCCCAACACAGCCGCCATCGACTTCTCTGCCCGTACTGGGAACTGAGAATCATCGCCGTTACTTGGACTGGAAGAAGCTAGCCCACACCTACCCTTCGCTTTTCGACACTCCTTCACAACATTACAATCGGGCAAACCATGCGGCGGTTTTGAACACTATCAGAAGGAGGAACCATCACGACATTGGGATCCCAGCAGCACCTCAAATGCACCCGGCTCGGTTGGACCCAAGATTAAAAGATTTAGCGGAGCTGAATACCTTTTTTGCCAACATTTCACAGGGTATTATCACACCATCAGGCGACAAATGTAGTCAAAGAACAGCGGGAAGTCGTCCGTTTCTGAACGCCTCTCGACCTCCATTGCCGCCACTGATTCTACCCCCGACTCCGATTGCCTCGATATCGCCGCAAGAAACTCAAAAAATCTTTTCTGATATCGATGATGTCACTCCTGATGAGAATGAAAATTTAATCACGAGACATCATCTGACCAAATTGAGCAGCAAAACCAACGACCGAAATATTCAAGTTTTTGATAATAAAAAATTGAGCCCCGAAGATGTTGTTCTGATTGAAGACGACGAAGATGAGAGTTCTGATCTATTTGTTCTTGATTACGCGGAAATCGCGGGTCAAAAATTGGCCGTTCTGTTTTTCGATTCTGGCGAACCGTACTTCTGTGTGAATGAAATCCTGGAAAAACTGCTTCCGGATGTTGACAACTCAGTGGCGAAACTGGACAAAGTTTCAAAACAGTTCAACTGGATTTTGCCACGACTTGCTACTTCAGGGCAGCTGAAACTGCTGAAAAGTCACTCAATAATTAATGAAGCGGATCCGTTTTGCGGTTTAATCCAGCGCTCGCTTGCAGAATATCTTGTCCAATGGTGCTGTATGCACAAGCATTCATCTGATAATCGTAAAATTGATTATTCTTCAGAAAGTGTTTCAGCAAGAATTGACGACGGAATAATCGTCCATCATCAATGTTTTGGTTCAAACGAAGGAGTTTTCCTGACGGATATTTCAAAAGATTCACTTGATATCTCTTTGGATCCATGCGTACAATGTTTGACATGTAACAGAGTCCTAACTTGTCAGCAGTTTGTTTGTCACAGTCACAATGTACCTTCAAACGAGCATCATTGGGGGTTCAATTCGAATATGTGGTATTTATACTTGCAAGTAAAGGAAAAACAGTCCAATTTCAGCACAAAGCTGCTGTTATGGACGAAATTTTTAGAAAAATTTTGTAGCATTTCAGACAAAGTCGCACACGAAAACGTAATGGATTTTTCCAAAAAATCATTTTATAATTTCGTTGAAACTTCGAGCTCTGATGGCGAATTGACTGATGATCAACTTAACCGAGCAGACTCAAATTTGTTTTCAAGTTCTAATTATAACTCAGAAAGCGAAGAGATAAAACACGAGCTGAGTATTGACGAGGAAGATGAAATTCCGACTGTTGAAATTGGCGACTCATCGCTGGGGGACGAAGATGAAGTCGGGTCTGGAGCCGAAGATGACGAAGTTGAAGTGTGTGACTCCGTGACACCAGCAGCCGAAGTTGAGTCCGACTCAGATCCAACTGCTGGTCGAGAGATCGACGATGAGAAGAAGACCATTTCAGAAACACATTCAGCACATCAGGTTGAAGTGAAACTCGAGATCTTTGAGGTAATATATTGTACCAGTTAAGATCAAGATCCTCGTTTTTATGCTTTTGGTGTCTCCGACCCCCTTGAAAAAATGTCACGTTTAGGCCGGTGTCTTTTACGTTAGTCATCTCTTTCTCCAAGCGTCCATTTGAAAAAAAAACAAATTCACTGCACTGGCACATTTGTTTTTGTATTTACGTAAATGGTACCGAATAAATATCTGTAAAATCTTCAGGTTCGTTTTCCAAAAATAATTTTTTGAAATTCCGGTAAAAATGGAGTATTTTAAAACATTTTACAGCCAAATTTAATTAAGTGAAAATAGTTTTCGGTAGTCGCCTTTTCAATTTTTAGTTTTTGTCTTATTATAGTTTTTTTTCCAGTCACCGAATGTAAAGATGAACTTTGAATGCTCGTTATCTTTTTTTTCCACTATGGCAAATCAAAATTAGAGATCTATTCATTTGATTTATTACCTAAAATCCTTTTTGTTAGTCGTGATTCGTGCTGCATTGGGTTATTTATTTTTTCTAGTAAATTAATTCGTGAACATCTTATTTGGAAGGAAGCATGCGTGGTCATTTTCTTTCCAATTTTTCACAGCTCTTCGATAATTTATAAGTTATGATGTGAATACTAGGCGTTAAGTTGCTATAGCCTCCAGGCAGTTAAATGATCCAGATAATTACTATAATAATCAGTGCTCGGGGGTATGCTGTGGTTTCTTTAGTAAACCGGGGAGTATAATTGGGCGAAGCGTTTTAGCAGCAGAGCAATATAAGAAGCAATTGTTGAAAAAATTTTCACCCACCAAATGTGCCGGAAGGATTTTATTTTTGGTTTTTTGTTAGTTAGGAAATTTCTTTCTTGATTTTTGCTACATTTTGTTAAGTTGAAACATAATTTTGCTCTCATTCTTCTGTCTCCGGTAACAGTTTTCCTTTCTTCGAAGTTTAATCTGAGGAAAACTCTTCAGAATACATATGCAAATTGTTTTTTAAATGTGAGAACTGTCACGTTTATTGTTCCGACTTTCGATTCGGAAGTAACGGAATATTTGTGCTCGGGGTGGGTTTTTTTTTCTTCAGACAAATTTCGACTTTTTAACTAGCCATTTTTGACGGAATTTTTTTATATCATTCGAAAGGTATTGTTGTCCTGAGCTCAAATTTGAAAAGATATTTTACCTGTAATCATTTTTCGTAAAGTTATGGGGGTTTAAAGATTGCCAATTTGGCCAATTTGGGACAATTAACGCGCGATATATTTCGCGCTATTAACGCGTAAGCGGAGATTTAATCCGACTTAGAAATCGTTCCAAATTGGTTAGAAGTAGCTTATTTGCCATAATTGATTTGTTACAAGGAGCGAAATCTATCTTTTTGTACTTTACATGGCGTGTGGGGGGATGATTTTCGTTAAAAAAGTTTCAAATTTTAGAGAAAAAAAAATTTCATTTTATTTTATTACATTTTATTTTCATAGGTTATTACTGCTCCTTAAACGTTAAAAGGCATTCTGAACATTCAGGGCTTCGCCCTGATACGAGCAGTCTTGTTGTTCTGACTTTCGATACGAAAGTAACGGAATATTTGTGCTCGGGGTGGGTTTTTTTTCTTCAGACAAATTTCGACTTTTTAACTAGCCATTTTTGACAAAATTTTATAATATCATTCGAAAGCTACTGTTGTCCTGAGCTTAAATTTGAGCAGATATTTCACCTGTGACAATTTTTCGTAAAGTTATGGGGTTTTAAAGATTGCCATTTTGGCCAATTTGGGACAATTAACGCGCGATATATTTCGCGCTATTAACGCGTAAGCGGAGATTTAATCCGTCTTAGAAATTGTTATAAATTGGTTGAAAGGAGCTTATTTGCCATAACTGATTTGTTACAAGGAGTGAATTCTATCCTTTTGTACTTTATATGGCGTGTGGGAGGATGATTTTCAAAAAAAAAATTCAATTTTAGAATTTTTTTTTTCATTTTGTTCTATATCATTTAATTTTTTTAATGTTATTACTGCTCCATGTACCTTAAAAGGCAGTCGGAACATTCGGGATTTTACCCTGATACGAGCAGTCTTGTTAATCTTTAGTGCCTATTGATAGAGCAGTCAAATTTAAGCGCTTCTGAGCGAGTGTCTTGTAATCGATAACTAGACTTTTTTCACTTCGTACAAACCTGTAACAGGTTTGTCTTGCTTCATTATGATTTATTAGTAATTATCCGTTAGCTGCCTACTTGGCGTAGTGTTAAGGCGCCTGCTGGAGGGTCCAAAGGTCTGGGATCAGACTCCCCGGGGTTACTTGTTGTTTTTTTTTGGATTTTATGCCTTTACGCCTAATTTTTATTATAATTTTGGTCAGTCTGCATCTGAACTCTTGTCGGATTAGTTTCAGTTTTTAACGGTCATTTCAATACTCATAAATGTTATATTTAGGGTTTTAACCCTTGTAAGTACATCAACAGTATACGTGCTAAAATAAGTACGTGCAAATAAAAAAAAACGTTTTTGTGCACCTTTTGGAAAGTTTTGACCAAGATGTTGCGCTTTTTTCGGCGCCCGCTCCCCTTCAAAACTAGTCTATATTGGCGCCGAAGGTACTTTTAACAAAATTTTTGGGGTTGGTCGGCCTTAAATCGATGTTACAAAATAATACCAAAGAGGGGACCCTTTAGTTGGTGAGGGGGTCGAATCCCTGAGGTTTTTTGGCAATAATATTGTTTTGGCTCAACGCGTCTAACCTAATTTGGTCGGCTTAGTAACTGCTTCGCAATTTTTGTATTATTTTTATTTCGAGTATATGGCGTTGGTTTCATCTTCTTTCGCCTCTCTGATAATTGCTGCTTTTTGCTCCGACCATTGAAAATGGGGAGGAACTTTGTATTCGGGTGTGTTTTAGTTTTTTCTTTTTGTTTTCCACGCAAAATCAGGTACCACAACTAATCATCGGACTGAGTTGAGTGATATATCATATTAAAGCCCTTACAATTGTGTTTGAACCGCGTTAAAAGATTTCGAAAAAATGTTCTCAATGTCGAGAAAAACCGGTTTGAAATTTTTGATTTTTGTCTTAATTCAAGCGAATAAAGCGAGCGAGCGTCTTGTTTTAATTGCTTAAAAGCTTACAATAGCGTAAATTAAAACTCCCGAACTTAGTTTTATTTGAGTAACGTTAGTTTACTTTGAGTATTTTAGCGCCTTTTGGAATCTTAATTTTCATGAAACTGCAAAACTTGAAAAATTTTTAGATTTTTCAAGTATGTTTTCTACAAAAATTGATTTTCAATTCGCTTATTCTACTATGACTGTCGAATAAACCTAATCTCCAGATTTTTGTCCGGTTCCTTTTATCGTATCTTCCTGAAAATAAACGACAATAAATTGAAAAAAACTTTGTTGTATTTTTGTAAGACTATGGTCGGAACATTCTTTACTTGCACAGTAACCGGCTGTATTTCTTAGATATATTTCTTAGAAGCCTAGATATAAAAATACATTTGTGGCGTCATCCTTGAAAAATAATTTGGTGATGAAAACAAGTTGCAAATTACCTTTAGAAGTTACTGACCCCTTATATTTTTTAAAATTTTTTCTCTGTTTGTATTTAATTTGTTTAACCATTTTCGACGTTCCTGGGCACACTATAGGGTTTTGTATTACACAAATGCTTTTTACACAGGAAATTTAAAAATTAAAAGTAAAAACCCTTTTTGTATATGGCTCAAAAGCTTATTTTAAAATTTCAGTAGTTGAAGTTCGTTGCGCTTTTCTTTGACAGATTGAAGTTTATCTTCGATATCAAAACAAAACAAGACTGCTCGTATCAGGGCGAAGCCTTGAATGTTCCGACTGCCTTTTAATGTTTATGGAGCAGTAATAACCTATAAAAAAATTAAATGTAATAAAATAAAATTAAATTTTTTTCTTAAATTTGAATTTTTTTATAAGAAAATCATCACCCCACACGCCATATAAAGTACAAAAGAATAGATTTCGCTTCTTGTAACAAATCAATTATGGCAAATAAGCTTCTTTCAACCAATTTGGAACGATTTCTAGGACGGAATAAATTTCCGCTTACGCGTTAATAGTGCGAAATATATCGCGCGTTAATTGTCCCAAATTGGCCAAAATGGCAATCTTTAAACCCCCATAACTTCACAAAAAATGATCACAGGTGAAATATCTTTTCAAATTTAAGCTCAGGATAACAAAAACTTTTGAATGATAATAAAAAAATTCCGTCAAAAATGGCTAGTTAAAAAGTCGAAATTTGTCTGAAGAACAAAAAACCCACCCCGAGCACAAATATTCCATTACTTTCGTATCGAAAGTCGGAACAATAATAAATCAGACTTCAACTAAAAACATTTATAATAACTTTTGGTTCTATTGCGAGAAAAGTTGAGTCTGGACAACGTTATAGTATGGACAAAAATTACATTTTTTTTGGTAATTGTTTGGAAGGGCTAGAAGAGGTTTTTGACTAAAAATTAGAAAATTAAAAATTAGGTTTTTCCCTCATTTTAGGAATTTTTATTTAGAAAATGTGATAAGCTATTTTTCCTAGACTATTTATGGAATTGACTGGAAAGTGTTTTTTTTGGGGTATGAAATTGTCTAATATGCCCTTTCGTGCGTGGAGTTTAACCCGGGTTGCTAACCAGGAGCTTTGACCTTGCAAATGATAATACTATACTAGGTATCACTAGAGATTATACTTTAAGGCAAGGATAATTTTCTTCTTGCCGAGAAATTTTCTTCAAATGTTTTCGATTTTTTTTGTTCTTGTATTAACTATAGTCTTATTCAATTGTTACGGACTCTAATTTTCAAAATTATTCTGGTCGAAATAAAAAACATTTTATTTTCTCATACTTTCATCTCCGTGTTTTCCAATTTTGTTCTTCAGACTATGAGCGTGGACGAAGTTAGACAAACTTGTATTAGGGTTTTTCAAAACTGTCATTATTTTCAGCCTGATATTTGTTTTGTTATAGATAAATATGTT